GTATAAGCCTAAATTGGAAATTAGGAAATAATCATATAATAGCCTAACTAACCTGTTGACTCATTCCCATAAAATGCTGTCATAGTTATTTGGTGAATGCAATGCTCTTCCGTATAGGCTACATAAAAAAGATAAAAATAAAAATACTTAAAATGCCTTCTGCTTTAAACAAACCACGACTCAGCTGATGTGAGTCATTCTGCTGGTGGGACAGAAAATAATAACCTGCAGGTCCGACACACCCTCCTCCAGCCCTACCACCCGTCCCGGACCCATCAGCCTCCGCCTGTCACTGAACTATTAAAAGGAACAGTAGAGAGAAGAGATCAGAACTGAACCAGAACTCAGTTAAAAGGCAGCAGCGTGGATAAGAACATTACAGGTAGGTGTTTGTTGATAATATTTTTTTATTAAACTTTTATTTTTACATCTGATGGGTCACCTCTGCAGGTGTTCTATCATATCACCTCCTGCAGATTCTGTCTCATCTCTTTTCTCTCAAACACAAGTTAATTTATTCTTTATCCSACACTTAATAGTTGAGAAATGTTTTAGTGGCAGTCAGTTGAAAAGACTTAAAGGTAAAAGTTGAAGATATAGTTTTGCTGTTTGCTGTTTAAATATAGTATTTAGTTTAATAATGTACTAAACTGTATTCAATCAATAGTATCAGGAAGTAGTTTGTATGCAGGTATATTAACATAAAGTGGATTTATGTTTCTCAGTGGTAAAGTTGTATAAAACAACTAGACACACTCTTTTCATATAAAGTATTTTTTTCCAATCAAACCAGGATTACTCATCTAGTTGGTGTGAGGATTGTGTTGTCTGTTGTTCTGTTTTCCCTTTGTGTCACCACCTCCCAGTTCTCCTCAGCTTGTCTCCCTGCCATTTCTCAGTTTATCATCCTCACCTGACAATCAGCCTTCCCTCCAGGTGTTTGTCATTTCCTCTCTCCCCCTGTTTGTATAAATACTGGTCATGTCCTCCATATCCTCACTGGATCATCATATGGATTTACCCATCTGTCTCATTGCCCTCCGTGTTCTCCAGAGTTTCAGTTTTATTTTAGCTGCTGTCAGCTCTTTTGTTTTGTTTATTTAATAAATCCTTTTTATTTAAAAACTTCATCCTCTGTCCGGATCTGGGTTCATTTCTGCACCACAACCTGACAGTTGGTTGTTCAACTGGTAATTAGCTTCTGCTTAATTCAACAATAGTATAAATAAATCATTTTATGCCCTTTGTGGTAAAGAAATATATCAGTTATGAGGGAAAATCTCTTGTAGAACAAAAGCTTTTCTTTTAGGTTTTTATGAATTTGCATGAGGTCATCAAGGACAGGCAAAAATACTTTGAGGGTAGTTGAGGGGTTCAGACTCTCCTTGGTTCTGTGAAAACAGAATTTAAACTGTTATATATGTTTTGAGCAACGTAAAAGTCAGAAATCTATGATGTTTACAGGTAAGAAGATTTATGCCATTTGAAGCTTATGTAACCCCAGACGTCTGTATACTGGAAACCTGCTTAAGGAAACACTTGYAGGAGGCTGCCTGAGGCCTGAAACTTTAGAATTACTGTTTACACTTAGTAATTCTAGTTTGTAATTCCTTTATGACAAACTCATTAAKGTAGTGATGTGAAACTGTAGTCTTTCTGTTCCACCTTCAATAAAATATGACAAAACAAGTTCAGAGTCMAGACTTGTCTCGTGTTGAGACACACAAGGGAATATTTCTGTTTTGAGTTCTGAGAAGTCTTCAGTCTTTCAAACATTTTCACCTAATGTGTCATCAATCCTAGAAAGCATAAAGCAGGCAATCCATCTGCCAGAAGGAGGCCAACAGCCAGTATGATCCTAATAAATAACTTAATTTACTTTACAAAAGTACTTTCTTTAAACAGCAAAAATTATGTGTTGGCACATGCTTTTTTATTTTAAATTAAGAACGCAACAATATTTCTGAGGAAAAAATGAAACTCGTTTCACAAGTTTTAGATGTTACGTGTAATTTTAAACAATAAGACCAGTAAAGATTCCAATCAGCTCTTTTCAGACAGGAGTCACGTCATATTGCCTTAACTGATCTGTTAAAAAAAAAAAAAAACATTCCTTCATTTTAAACTCTGTCAAGTTTTGTTTTTGTTTCTTAGATTTAGAAATCCTCTCTGCAGTTTGGAACAAAAGGTTAAAGTAAAAATTTCTCCTTAATTTGATTCAGAGACACGTTATTTTCAGGTAATGATGTTTTTGTCTCTGCTTTGCTTTGTATAAACATCTCATGAACCTCCAAAGTCTCAGACAGCAATTATTGTATAAACATCT